GGTAAAAGAGTTGGGAAATTCGTGGGTTTGAAGTGGGGAAGTGAAAGGGAGGTTTTATTTTAATTAAAAGGAACAGCAGAAGTAGAAATAATACACAAGGCTTGTCCTTCTGACCTCATTCTCGTTCAGGGTTAAAAAGAAGAGAAAGGACTTTATTTTGTTTATTAAATGGAAATAAAAGACTTTGGATATTTGGAAAGGATATGGAAAGGCTTGATATCAAGAAGAGCTTTGGAGGAGCAGGGTTATGGTTTGGGTTTTAGGGTACGAAAGGTTAATGAGTTCAGCCCAAAAAGGATCATAACACTTAGATATTAACCCTTTGATTTGTTTTATGGTTTGTGGTGTAACCTCCGTGCTTGTAGGAGCATCCCGGGGTACATCAGAGTTACACTAACTCCGTTAAGCTTAAAGGTGCTCAACAAACCGATACAACTTGAGAACTCGAGTCACACGAGCCTCAACGCCTTTGCTTGGAGATACCGCACTCCAAGACTTCTCACGAAGGAACAAAGAACTTCCTTCGAGTTTACAACAAGGGAACAACCTCCCTTAAAGTGTATGAAAACACTTAAACACTCAAGAATAAAAACTCTCACAAAGAGTAGATATGAGTGAACTAGTAAACGCTCAAGAACACGACAATTTCTTCAAGAATTGGCTCTCAAATAGCTAAGAAAAGATAGGAATACTTATGCAATGAAAGAGTATTGAAATGTTGAAGAATTGTGTGTAAAATGAGAGGAATTGGGTGCCATTTTATAGCCCAAAATCGTATAAATCCGTTGCTAGAGTTTCCAACAGGATGAAGACAAATTTTTCAGAGTTGCAAGGTGATAATCGATTGTCTAGCCATGATAATCTATTATTGAAAGATTCGCTGTCCAAAATTTTAAAATTCTATCCGTTGGAGGACAACGGTAACCCAGATAATCGATTGTCAACTAGTGATAATCGATTATTGGTCCTCTCAGAAGATTCTGGGTTTTGGCTGCACAGACTGATAATCGATTATTGCAAATGTGATAATCGACTATTGCTTGCTTCAGAACTTTGGAGTTCAAAGCTGCAGAGGCAGATAATCGATTTTCACCAAAGTGAGAATCGATTATCACCTAGCTAAAGTCTAGCCAGCTGAAACCCGTTTTGAAAAACTGAGGTCCAAAAACGAAGTGTTCCCAAAAGTAAAAACCAGGTTTGAAAAACATTGTATATGGTATAAAATAGTGAAAACAAGACTTGTTCGGTAAAAACCAAGTGTTAGACCAATTGACCAAGATACAAAAGTGGTTTTTATAAAATAATTATTTGGGAACATTTTAAAAATGCTCAGAGGTAAAAACAAGGTTTAAAATATTGAAAACCACGGAGTTGGTTCGGGCGCCAAAAACCGAACGCCGAACGCCGACCTAGGTGGTTTAGGTTCCGAGCAAGGACCAGGGATTTTAACAATAAAAAATCATCAAAAATATTTATTTTGATGCACAAAAATATTTTATGATTTGTAAAAATTGTTTTGGCTCTTTGAGAACCGAGACTTGAATTTATTGTCGGTTTTGATCACAAAAGACCGACTCGACTAAGTCTTCAATTCTTGATCTTGTCCTTGAGTCTTTTTGGTCTTGTTCCGAGCCATTCTTCACGCCTTGAGTTATTCAACGAAACTCTTCATATCCACGACGGTTTGGCAATTATCAAAACCTGTCAGAAATGAACACGACTTTAGTTTATCGTACAAAGTGTGTTCCAACACTTAGTTACCCATTATCCACTCTAAAAGAGAGTATTGTTCTTGAGTGTTTTTTTGGTGTTCTTAGACACTTGACAAGAGAAAATATTTCTCTTGTTGTTCGAAGGAAGGGTTGTTTCCTTCGAAGGTTCGTTGAGGTTCGTGTGACTCGAACTCTCAAGTTGTACGGGTTTGTTAAGCACCGTTAAGCTTAACGAGATAGTAGTGTAGCTCGAGAGAGTCTCTCGGGAGGCTGGATTAGCCACAAGTTGTGGTGAAGCAGGGTAAATTCGGTGTGCCTCTTACTCTTCTCTCTACTTCTCTTCTATTTATTTTTAATTCCTGCGATTTCTTGATCAAACGCTATTCAACCCCCCTCTAACGTTGGTCTATTATTCTAACAATTGGTATCAGAGCCTAACTCGCGTCCAAACTTAACCGTTTGAGAGTAAAGCGATCATGGGTTCTTCTTCTAGAAATCTTTATGCAGGAATTGGAGAAGGTCAATCAACCTCTAGGCCACCACTCTTTGATGGCACCAACTACTCCTATTGGAAGGAACGGATGAGAATCTATATCTGTTCCACCAACTTCCAGTTGTGGTTGGTCATCAAAAACAGCAAAGAAACGCCAATGAACAAGGTCAGTGAAAAACTCGTCCCAAAGACCGAGGACGAATTTAATGCCGAAGACATCAAAAAGGTGGAGAACTACGCCAAGGCAATCAACATGCTGTATTGCGCGGTCAACCCCAATGATTATCGCAAGATCTCTTGCTGCACCACCGCCAAAGAAATGTGGGACAAGCTGGAGGTCACATACGAAGGTACGGATCAAGTTCGGGAAGCCAAAATTGACTTCCTAACACAGGAGTACGAGATGTTTAGGATGAAGGAAGGCAAAAAGATCGATGACATGTTCGATCGGTTCTCCAAGATCATCAACAACCTTCATGCCCTCAAAAAGACCTACGCCAACAAGGATCTTGTGAGGAAAATCCTGCGGAGTCTCACACCCGAATGGAGATCAAAGGCCGATGTAATCTACGAATCCATCGGAGTTTCCAATGTCACCATCGACGGGTTAAGAGGTAATCTCAAAACTTATGAATCCACTATTCTAACCCCGTCTTTGGATGAACAAAAGAAGAATGGTAAAGCACTTAAAGCAACCAAGGAAACGATGGAAGAAGTTTCAAGCGATGACGACAACGAGTTTGGACTCGTCATCAAGAAGTTTCACAAGTTCATGAAGAAGGAGTTCGAGCGGAAGGGAAGGAAGCACGACGGTCCTCCCAAGTGCTATTGCTGTGGTGAGATTGGCCACATCAAGCCAAGGTGTCCAAAAGCCAAGCACGGCAAGGACAAGCCCGGTTTCAAGAAGTAAAGGGCTTACATCTCTTCGGGTGGCGATTCCGGCGATGAATCAACCGACCAAGAGGAGGACGAAGCTGCAAATCTTTGCCTCATGGCGCACGAAGACCAAAACGGCGACGTCCAAGAGGTATGTACTATTTCTTCCGACTCTTATACTTTTGAAGAAATGCAAGAAGCACTTCATGAACTTTATGAAGAATTTGTTAACGCTTCCAAAACAAATAAATCTTTAAAGAAACGTCTTTCTACACTTGAAAACGATTTTGAAAAATTGGAAAAAGACAATGAAAAATTAAAACAAGAAAACAATTGTTTTGGAAAAAGAAGCGCTGACAAACCGGAAAGTTCCTCAAGTGAATGTGAATCTTGTAAAGCTTTAAAAGAACAAGTCACTAAACTTGAGAGCACGGTCAAGAAATTTAATACTCCTCACAAAGATTTAAATTTGCTTCTTGACACTATGCATTTTTCTAAGGAAGGAATAGGTTTTAATAAAAATGAAGCTAAGGTTAAAGAAAACGTTGAGCCACCACCTAGACAATCATCTAAGGCTCAACGTAAGAAACCTAAAAATCAGGATAATAGAAAACCTAGTCAACCTAAGGACACTAGACAACCTAGACTGAAACCTAGGAATGAAAATGTCCATGGTAGACAACCTAAGAAAAATGATTTTGTGCATAAAACCAACTTTTCTCAAGATAGAAGAAATAATGTTAGAGTACCTAGAAGAGATCAATTTCAAAACTTTCAAAGACCATCTTTTTTACAAAATAGGAACAAAATGGTTAAACCCTCTAACTATTATGAACCGAGGCACATGTACAACCCCAACGTAGTTTGCCATTATTGCAATAAGATAGGCCATATTGCTCCCATTTGTTACACTAGGCATAGGCATCTATCACAAAATCAAGCACACTACCATCACACACCTAACACACGAGGACCCAACGTAAATTGGGTACCTAAAACTCATTGATGTGTTTCATAGGTGTGCTTGAAGGCATCAAGTGTACTTTGGTACCTTGATAGCGGATGCTCCAAGCACATGACCGGGGATGCATCTAAGTTTCTCCAAATTAAACCCGCTAAAGGAGGAAACGTAATTTTTGGAGACAATAGCAAGGGAAAGATTATCGGCATTGGTTCGGTAGGTAAATCTGAAAACTCATCTATAGACAATGTCTTGCTTGTTAAAGGTCTTAAACACAATCTCTTGAGCATAAGTCAATTATGTGACAAGGGAAATCGTGTGACCTTCGACTCAAAATCATGCATGGTAGAACGCCTTAGTGACAATAAGTTCATTCTACGTGGTGATAGAATCGATATTATTTATATGGTTAACTTAGACAAATCTCCTTCCGGCTTTGCTAAGTGCCTCATGAGTAAAGAGGAAGACACTTGGTTATGGCACCGAAGGGTAGCTCATATGAACATGAACCTCTTGAATAAATTGGTTTCACAAGACTTAGTAATTGGCATTCCAAAACTCAAGTTTGAAAAAGAACCCATTTGTGATGCATGTCAAAAGGGGTAGCAAGTTCGGGATTGGTTTAAGTCTAAAAATGTTGTTTCAACGTCTAGACCGCTTCAACTTTTGCACATGGATCTCTTTGGTCCTTCTAGAACAGGGAGTTTTGATGGTAATTACTTTGCGTTTGTGATTGTCGATGACTATTCTAGGTTTACATGGACCTTGTTTCTTACTCATAAAAGTGAGGCATTTCATGTGTTCAAAAATTTTCTAAAGAAAGTTCAAAATGAAAAAGACACAACCATAGTAGCCATAAGAAGCGACCATGGGGGAGAGTTCGAACGAAATCTATTTTCAGATTTGTGTGACGAACTTGGCATTGATCATAACTTCTCAGCCCCACGTACACCACAACAAAATGGAGTGGTGGAACGTAAAAATAGATGTCTCGAAGAGATGGCTAGAACTATGATCAATGAGGCAAAAATCCCTAAGTATTTTTGGGCGGATGCCGTGAGTACCGCGAGCTACGTGTTAAACCGAGCCGTCATTCGACCGATACTTATGAAAACGCCCTATGAATTGTTCAAAGCGATAAAGCCAAACCTTTCCCATCTTCGAGTCTTTGGTTGCAAATGTTTTATTCATAATAACGGCAAAGATAACTTGGGAAAATTTGATGCCAAGTCGGACGAAGGGATTTTTCTTGGTTATTCTCCACGTAGCAAGGCCTATAGAGTGTTTAATAAACGCACTTTGACCATTGAAGAGTCCCCTCATGTTGTGTTTTCCGAAGATAATACTTGCTTGGCGAGAAAGGCTATTTGTGATGATCTTGCAGATTCACTCGAAAGATTACACGTTGAAGACGATGAAGAAGACACGCCATTATACACCAACCTGCAACCACAACCCGAGGAAACACCTCAAGTGATGGTCGAAAATGAGGACCAAGCGGACGAAGAAGAACACGAGAAAGCCCAGGAACAAGAGGAAACCGAGCTTCCCATTGCTTGGAGAACGAACAAGAACCATCCACTTGACCAGGTAATAGGCAGCATCAACCGCGGGGTAAGTACTCGTAACTCTCTTAGGGACATCGTAGGACACATGGCTTTTGTTTCACAAATTGAACCTACAACCATTTCCGAAGCAATAAACGATGAACATTGGACCTTGGCTTTGCAAGAGGAGCTAAACCAATTCAAACGGAATGACGTTTGGGAATTGGTGCCAAGGCCCGATGATCGTACGATTATTGGTATGAAATGGGTGTTCCGTAACAAACTTGATGAAAATGGAATAATCACTAGAAACAAAGCTAGGCTCGTAGCTAAAGGCTACAATCAAGAAGAAGGCATTGATTTTGAAGAAACTTATGTACCCGTAGCACGTTTAGAAGCTATTCGTTTACTTCTTGCTTTTGCTTCGTCTATGGATTTTAAACTTTATCAAATGGATGTTGAGAGTGCCTTCCTCAATGGTTTTATTCAAGAGGAAGTGTATGTTGACCAGCCCCCGGGGTTTGAAGACTTTGAGTTTCCCGACCATGTCTTCAAACTCAAGAAAGCGCTCTAAGGTCTTAAACAAGCACCCCGTGCTTGGTACGAACGTTTAAGTAAATTTCTTTTGGATAGTGGTTTCCAAAGGGGAAAGGTTGACACCACACTTTTTATCAAGAGTAAAAACAATAACATCCTTTTGGTTCAAGTTTATGTAGACGATATTATATTCGGTGCTACTAACGAGTCTTTGTGCAAGGAATTCTCAACTTTAATGACAAGTGAACTCGAAATGTCAATGATGGGCGAGCTCACATTCTTTTTGGGACTCCAAGTCAAGCAAATGAAAGATGGCACATTCATTTGCCAAGCTAAATATTGCAAGGAGCTCCTAAAATGGTTTGAAATGGACAACGCCAAAGCCATGGCGACCCCGATGAGCACGTCTGACCATCTTGACAAAGACGAGAAAGGTAGGGAAGTAGAAGTCAAAAAGTATCGAGGTATGATCGGATCCCTTCTCTATCTTACCGCTAGTAGGCCGGATATCATGTTTAGCGTATGCCTTTGCGCAAGGTATCAATCGTGTCCGAAGGAATCGCACTTAACGGCGGTGAAACGGATCATGAAATACCTTGTCGGAACGGTTAACGTTGGACTGTGGTATCCAAAAGGCTCTTCTTGTCATCTCGTTGGTTATTCCGACTCGGACTTTGCCGGTTGCAAATTGGACCGTAAAAGCACGAGTGGGACTTAACACTTACTTGGTAGCTCTCTAGTCTCATGGTTTAGTAAGAAACAAGTCAGTGTTGCGTTATCCACAACCGAAGCGGAATATGTAGCCGCCGGTAGTTTTTGTGCTCAAATCCTTTGGATGAAGCAACAACTCGTGGACTATGGCCTTAGTATCAATCACGTCCCTCTTCGTTGTGATAATACTAGCGCCATAAGCTTGACGAAGAACCCCGTTCTTCATTCAAGGACGAAACACATTGACATTAGGCATCATTTCATTAGAGATCATGTTCTCAAAGGTGATGTCGAAATTGAGTTTGTTGAAACACACAACCAATTAGCCGTCATTTTCACAAAACCTTTAGAGAAAGAGTCGTTCTTCCGCATTCGAAGCGATCTCGGAATCCTTGACTCCACGATGATCTAAGTTGTGCATCTCAACTTGTTAAACGTTTACTAACTTGAGCGTCAGAGAACTTTTTCTTTTTTGCAGGTACCCCGTTCATGAAATCAGGGGGAACCATGCAAACAGCGCTATCCAGGAGGCTCAACAGCGCTGTTGAGAGAAACACCGTCAACCAGCTTGAGCCAACAACGCTGTACATCACACCAACAACGCTGTCACAGAGAGTTCCCTTTACCTTTGCTTTCCAGAAACTTTTTAAACATCGATGTCTCTTTTCAAAACACCGCTATCCATTTTTACATATTTTTTATCGTAAAACAGCGATGTAGGGAAACCCAACAGCGCTGTTCTAATGGGTGCAAACCCTTACACATTTTCAGAAACTTTGGGAACATCGCTGTAGGATACCCAACATCGCTGTCCACTTGACACTTGTTTTTAAAACTAGTCGCAAAACAGCGCTGTCTGGAGGCTCAATAGCGCTGTCCTCACATCGATGTTGCATTTGGGACATCGCTGTTCAAACTGAATTTTTCAAAAAAAATACCCATTGGCACCAGCATTAATTGCTCCAACAGCCATATTTTTGAAAATCTGGACGTTGGAAACTGGTGGTCCCAAAGTGGTGAGATACAAAGTCTAGAGGGGGGTGAATAGACTTTGTTACAACTTAAAAACTTTTTCGTTTCTTTTGAAAATGTGAAAATGAGTGTTTATTCTAGAGTTCTTGTGAACCTTAGATTGTGTGCGGAAGTTGGTGGGTTATTAGAGAAGTAATCAATATGGATGGGTTAGTTTCACAGTTAATATAATTGCAAGTATGAGTAAAGATAAAAGAGAGAGAGACACGCAAACTTTAACGAGGTTCGAAGGTGGGGTAATCTTTCTACGTCCTCAAAATCCACTATGTAGTTGGTTGTTGAATAATGAACCAACAATTACACTTGTGTGAATTTCTGCACGGTATATCTTCGCAAGGCCAATGTTGCTACTGCACTCGTGCTGGCTTTGTTGTTCCTTCGAAGGTCACGCTTCTTCAACAACTGCAAGATCCGAACAATAGGACTTGCAAGATCAACTTGTAAGA